CCGACTTCCCCAATCCAGTTTATTTTCCTTTCTTTTTATATAAGAAAAATAGAGGAAAATTAAAATGAAGCAAAAGTTCTCCTTGTTCGGATTGATATACTAAACTGCGTTATGGATTTGATTTGTAGAACTTGCACTGTGTCTTAAGGCAGGCTAACCTAATTGTGGAATGGACGTTCTAACTCCCAGCTACGTTAGGTGCACCTGAAGCTTTCATTGGGCATCAGTGCAAATCTGTCAGTCTTGTTAACGGGGCTGTAAGCAACATTGTGCTAAAACACAGTGTTGTGCGTGGTTGTTTGAGTGGTGGGTTTTTTTTGTTGTTTTCTTTTTTTTTTTAAAGCAGCATCTCTCATGCATTTTAGTGGTAAACAGACTAAGGAATGTCTTGGTTCATCATGTAACCTCTGTGCTCTTATCTAGCGGAGCACATAAGTGCATGTATAACCCCAGGAAGATCATTGACTTAGAAACTAGGCAAGAGAATTAAATGAAAGCTCCCAACTGAGAAACTTTTAAAAGTCGTCTTTTCTGAGAGTACATCTTCCACATTTTCGGGAAGTCTCCAGTCCTCTTCTGAACTTTGTATTGTTCTGTTTGAAAATCATATCCAGGTGATTCTATCTCTTTTCCTCACCTAGCATAGAAAAAATTGACATTAGAATCTGACCCCAGGTTAAAAAACAGTATACAACCCAGTATAATAAAATACACCGTCCAAGCTGAGCTTTAAAGACAGTTCACAGTATCTCAGTGTCTTGCTGCCATTCCTTTCTGTGTTGTTTTATTGTAATGTATCTTCGTAAGACACTTGCTTACGAGGCAGTAGGTCCTCATCTTGAAGTCAGATTAATGGGGTTTTACCACACTTTAATGGTTTCTCCAAATTATGCTGTAGTCTCAAAAAGCCTGGATTGTGATCTGAGAATGTAAGGCCAAACCTTAAAGTCAAGAGAAGGATTTTCCTCAACTTTAGTAGGCGTGTAGCCCAAATTCTGCTATGTACACCTGTATTCCATTGAAATCAGTTGGAGGTTGACACTTAAGTATCTAGGAGGAGCAGAATCTAAGTCCACAACTGTATACTCTAAGACAAAATTGTGTTTAAGCTGCCTTACTGTAATCTAATACTAGTTAACAAATTCTTAGCAAGATCTCAGGCCATAGTTACCAAGAGTTGACTGGGATTTGTACTTGAGATAATGAAAGTTCTAGTTTCTCAAGTAATGGTTATTAAAACAGTCCGTGCACTCTGCAGCATACAACAAGATTAAATGCTTTTAAAAAATTTCCAAGGTGCATTAACATTGTTGTCCGTTGTTCTTTACACTTACAACTGTAAAGGTCTAGGATAATACTTACTTTATGTGATGCTTTTACAATATGTTATCAAAATGTCATTTTTTCTGCAGCAAACAGAAAAAAACTGCAGAGCATTAAGCGTTTTATGCGATCCCAATCAGTATCTCCATTATTGTGCGGAGTCTTCTGTTTATCACCTTCACAGTGGATGGTGATGCCTTTATCTAACAAAAGTGGAAGACCCCTCCTAGGTCCGTGGGGTCTGTGAGGACAAGTATGTGAAGATTGATACAAGTCCTGCGTTGCCAGTGCTCAGTTTGCAGGTTTGGCTCTTGGGGTTAGATAATTGTTCCCTTCTTGTATTGTGGTCACTAGCACAAAGAAGACCTGTTCTTGGCAGGAGTTTCTGGATATTCTTCTAACTTTTGCTGCTGTTTGAAATTTAGCTGTCGTGTCTGTTGTCTGTTCTGACAGAGTGTAGACCTGGATGACCACCACAAACCTGAGTTTAGAAGAGTTTTTAGTTCTTCCATCATTGAAAATGGGCATCAGTCTTCATCAGGTAGGAACAGGGCGTAAAAGAAAGTAGCACTACTTGTAAAATACCTGATCCTGGCAGTCACAGAGCAGCTCTCACATGTTGGAAGCATTAGAATCTGCTAGGGTTTCAGCATGCATATTGTACTGTGGCACTGATACCGTTTAACTTTATTTCCTAATTAGGAGTTTAACTTTTAAACTTTAACTTTATTGTTAAGCATGCACTATGGTGTTTCATAAATTAGAGACTATTAGTGTCACGTTATCTTGGGGCACTAGTGATAATAAGGCCTGCTATTCTGGGTGCCAATGTAGCCTTGCATCCCAAAACATTTTGCAAATTACCTGTCCGCTTCCATCATCCTTCAGTGGATGGACTTACTATCTCCATTTTGGAGAAAACTAAGGCACATGGTGTTTCATAAAACCATGAAAAGAACAAGAATGCTGACTCCTAACCCACGGCAGGAGATTGGGGATGGGGGCTGCACAGGGGGGGAGGAGGAGCTTACCAAATGCAGATGCTAGTGGATTAATGATCTGAAGAAGTTGTTCTTGCTGAGATTCATGTAGGACAGGTACGATAGCTGCAAGGATCACTTACACTAGGGTTGTTTCTGCAGCGTCCTGTAAATGGTATAATGTCTCACAGGGAGAACTAGGTGGAATAATTCCAATGACTTGTAAAATAAAGTTGTTGCATGGAAATTGGTTTGTAACTTTGTTACAAATCTGCAAATAAACTTACTTCCTCTCTCCTTTTCTTTTTACTCACTAGGTCAGGCAAAAGTCTCCCATGAACTGACCTGTTTTCACACATCAGACTCTTCCCCTGAAGCCCATGCCCCTGCAGTCACCTTACAGATGCCCCACCTTCCTGTTACTGCAGTAACCAGGATATCAGAGAAGTTTTCAGGAGAGACCATCTGTTCAACAGGAACAACTAATATGTCTCCTGGCCTGCTGGGACAGAGCAAGAGCAAAAATGCGATGGCAGTGAAAACGTCCAACCAGTCAGGTATGAGAGACAAAAATAATTTGTTTGCTGAAGCTGTGTCCCATTTCTTTACTTCAAAAAACTGGTGCTACAGGGGTTGTCCTGTGACCTAGTGGTAATTATGAAACCTCGCTTCTGTGGCTACATATCCCATGGTGGGACACACTGATTTAGAATAGTTTGGGTCCTAGGTGGAACTTTAGGCTAGAATGTCACATCTGCTGAGAATTTTTGCTGCCTGATATAGTTGAGTTCATAGTGCAGCCTATCTTCTAGCACAGTTACTGAATAAGTGTCTCTTCAATGTGGCCAGCTATTTTAATGAAATTTGCAGGAGTTTTAGTGCTTTGAGACCTGAGGCCCCTTGAGAAGTTAGGCAGATATTTGGCTAACGGGTTCAACAGTCATTTGGAGGGAGGAATGACCAACAGCAGACTGACACATATACACAAGTTAGAGTTACTGCAGAATCTTATTTATATCTAAATTAAGTTAAAAAAAAAAATCTCATTTCATTCATATTTTAGTTATTCATCTTTGAGCTGTACTTCATATACATTTAGTGATAGTGACGCTTACAGATCAGACTGTATATATGGGTCAGAAATTACAGAGAGAGACCAGATGGAATTGCCAGCAAGATATAGGGATTATTTGCAGATTATTCTTTCAACTTTTATCTTATTAAAGCTAAGAATGTAGCAAAGCCTTCCTTTGTCTTTCTTTCTGCTGTTTCAGTGAAGGCCTGGAATTCAAGTACAGTAAGAACAGTGCGTTCATCTGCCACTGGAGGTGAGTGTTCCTATCAACGTGGCCTTATGCTACACAAATTGAGAGGGATTCCATGCTCCCTGTCTGGGGGGATTCAGATGTGAGCGTGTAGTTCCGATTAGTAGGTACATGGTAATACTAAAATTGCTAACAAGACTGCATACAGATTCAGTTTCCCAGGTATCATGGAAACTTGTTCCGCTGCATCAGATTCTCAATCAGTTCAAATCGAGGGGTACTTATCCTTATTTGCACAGTGGTGTACATGTGTACATAATACAAGGCAATCTCTGCAGTGGAAACAATAGGTGCCAGAGAAGTGTCGCAGAACAGACAGTTTGAGCAGTGAAGATTTCAGCTGACCAAGTGAAAACTGTGACTGAACACAAGGTAATGGCAGTTGGAAAGTGGTGGGCCCACCCTACGGATGTTGAAGCAAATTCCTTTGAGCAGAATAGCAGTAAGTAGTCTCCTTCATATATGAATGTGTCAACGGACAAAATGCCTTAAGGATTTTCGATTTCAGTCAAAATAGATGAGTTGACCTCTATCCAAAAGTACTTCTGACTGATGTCACCAAGCTCTTACTGTCTACACAACGTACTGGCATTTCACAGTGGTCTCAAGTGTCAGTTTAGCAAAGATGTAGCTCATCCAGAATAGGGATCACACTCCTCCTCAGCTTAAAAACTCTGAGATTTGCACAAATATCTGGCAATTGTTTGTGGTACCAAATTTGTCACATCTGTATGCTGGCATTTACCAGGGTGTTGTACGTGAGAAGTCTAGCTGATCTGGATCCCTTCTATAAGCAGTGGGGAGTGTTCAGCATTTTCAGAGTGATTTGGACAGTGATCAGGTTGGATTGCTTCTAAGATGCCAGTTTTTCTTCTTTGTGTATAGAAGGAGCCTTCAATAAAAAAGTTGCTGGCTTATGCAACAAGTTTTGGCTTTAATGTGTTAAAACTGGGCAAGCCACTCCATTGTTCTGCATTTACAGAGCAGAGCTGGAGTCCAGAGCTGGGCTCTAAGAGGCAAAGCACAAAAGATAGAACTTCAGGGGCAGGGGGAGGAAGATGCAAAGTTGGGTTTAGGCCACCTTTGCAACCTTTGGAGTCTGCTCTACTTTACAAATTAAAACATTTCTTGGTGGAAATTAGGTAATTTAAATTATGCTCTCAATCATGGCAGACTTCCCAGGACTCCTTATGTGTGCCAGAATGACTGTTGCAAGCTGAGCTGTAGCACCATTTCTTCCTTTCACTGAAATGTCCATGGCAGTGTGCTCTCCTCCGAGGTCTGCACAAGGGCCTGAAACGATCCAACCTTCCCAATGCAGTTTTATCAAAGGCATCCTCTCACAGCCCTTTCTGGTATGTTTATACCATCCTCGCTGCAGTGCGACAATTTTGCAGAGGGATTGAACCCCTGGGGAAAATCCCTCTCCAGCTTGTTAGCTCATACTGGAAGTTAGAGGCGTGCAGCTTTTCACTGTGGTGAGTAAAAATCAATGTGTGGCTATCTATCAGGAAATGGTTTGAAAATGTATGAAGAAAGGAGATCAAAGAAGTTTCTGCCCTGATGCATCTTGTTTTTCCTGCTTTTATACAGAGAATACCACTTCTGTCACTAAGTCTGTCTCAACTGTGAGCTATGGGACGAGTAGTGGAACCAAAACTGGTGAAAGGTATACATTTTTCTTGACGTTTTGTTAGGCCGTTGTGGTCAGTATAGTCTCAAGGGACAGGTGTTCTGCTGGCTTGGAGAACAGGTGAGTCCCAGATGCTGCATTTTAAGCCCATTAAAGGTTGTGAGCTTTCCTGAGGGCTAAGTGGAACAGAGATGGGAAGGGATAAAAGTCTTTTGTAGAGCATTTTAAAGCTGACCTAGTTGTGGATTTCAGCATTGTTACACCATTAGTAAAACTCTCAGTGCCAGTGGTGGATTTTTGTTAGGAGGAGCAAGTTATCAGGCCCTTTGAAAACACTTTTAAAAATACTCAGCTGTGTTGAAATTTGTACTTTGGGCTTATTTTTGGAAACCAACATGTGACTGCTGTCAAAGAACCTTAGTTTGGCTAGCCTAGAGTTTAGTTTGTAGATAAATGCCTTGCTGAGGACTGAGGACTACTACGCATTCTTGATTAATTCGGAGTCGCAGTTGCTTAGTATAGGATTACATGGTATCACAATTACTACTGGCGTATTCAGGCATCCTCAGCATGCAAACTATCCATCAAGAAAAATGGGAGGGCAGCCAATTTAAATCTCTTAAATTGGGCTTGCATCTGCCTTGGAAATTATCCCAAATTTGGCATTACATTTCTTCTGAGTTAGTTCCAACATCAGCACTTCGATATTTGAGTCATGATACACTGAGCACCCTAGAGAACTTGCTATCAGATCTGACCTCCATCTGTACCAGAAATTAATGTGACACTGATGTTATTGCTCTTTGCCTCAGTTTCCCCATCTCTGTCACGGGGAACACTTCCAAATGCAATGTGTGGCTTACTTCATTAATGCTAATGAAGTGGTTTATGGTTCAAATAAACACAAATTAGAATATACTCCTATATTTCTTGATCAAATTACCAGTTTATGGTCAGTGAAGCAACACTGACATGAGCTCAGGATTCAGTGTACTATAAGTAAAAATTTCAAAAGTACTTCCTGAATTACTCTTCAAGTTCCATTTTTGAAATGTGACTTACCCTCCAGGAACAGCAAAGTTGGAAATTAAAGGGATTTAGTGCTCCTGTGTGGCCACAACTTTTTTTTTTTCCCTTTTCTTTTTTTCTTAAAGGTGTTTAATTGTTGTTCTACTCAGAGCTATAAAGCATTTGTGACTTGTCCAGCTATGTGTCATTTGTAAAAGTACCTTAGACTCTTCTATAGTTAAGTGCTGTTGTCTGTCAATAAAACTTTGATTTTTACTTAAATTGCTTTTGACTCATTCAGGTCCTCTTGAAACGGCTGTTTTGGGAGGTTTAGAGTAGGCAACAGTTGGACCTTTATGCTGACTCCTGGCACTGCAGAGACTTACTTTTTTTGTTTAACCATATACTTTTCATGTTATGTTTCTCCAGTGCCACTGACAGTTACTGTGATGTGAACCCCAGCTCTCACTCCTCTCCTCCCACTGTACATCGCCAAGTTGAAAGGAGGCGAGAACTGGTGCGGTCTCAGACGCTCCCACGGACTACAGGAACACAGGCCAGGAAAGCGCTTTTTGAGAAATTTGAACACGATGGTGGAAAGTACGTCACACCCCTTGTCCCCAGAATGGGTTTGTTAATGGGAAGCTAATTTGTCAATTATTACCAGCAGAGGACAGCTGGGTGGGAGGACCCTCTCAATGTAGGATTTTGAGCTAAGGGGCAATATGGGGTCACGTATAGCTTCGCTGACTTTGCCCTGGAAATTCACAGCTACAGATTCTTTTGGCTTCGGAGTTGTTCAGCTGAAGAAGCAGATGACTTTTTTTTTTCATTATAAGAGACTGGGAATATTGTGACTTCCTGTTGCCATTCATTAAGGACCAAAAGCGTGGACTGTTCTTTATGCACCATGATGGGGGTATGATTTAAATAGAATTGGGCTTGGAATCCTGGCTTTAGTGAAATGAAAATGAGTTTTTCTTGCAGGAGCAACAAGGTGAAGTTTCAGCAACGTGTTTCTCAAATATCACCTGGACAGGGGCTGACCTGGGCAAGGTTGCATAGATGTTGCTGACAAGTAGGTTGAAGTTCTTCTAGAATGTAATTTAATCTGGTCTCTGTTAATTTTCCAGAGGAAAAGGAGAATCCAGAGCTAAGCTGAAGAGGTCGCAGAGTTTTGGGGTTGCCAGCGCTAGCAGCATTAAACAAATTCTGTTAGACTGGTGTCGCTCAAAAACCATAGGATACAAGGTGAAGACATGCTAGCACTTTCAGCTCTCTCTTTTTCAGGAGAATTTGCCAAAAAAGCGTACTCAAAAAGTGAATGTAAAACATGCTAGACAATGAGCTAACTTCCTCAAGGTCATCAAGTTTTGTGCGGGTAATGCAAACATCATGGTTTGCATGGGCAGCACTTCAAGACAGTCAGTGATTGCATGAGTGAGATGCTGTATGTCTGTCAAAGCAATGCATTAGTGTTTGTCTGAAAGCCTGCATTTTTGTGCTTATGGATATAGACTTCAGTATACGCTCACACATTTTTTTTTCTTAGTTGCAGGCTGTGATTTTTGTGTTCTCATTATACATGGCAAGATCTGAATAACATTTTGCCAGTACGTGGAGACTATGGCCATTTTGCTACACAGCAGACCAAAATACTCTCTTACTGGTATTAGACAAGTGAATTTGTAGTAAATAGTTGAGGTTGAATCACACGGTGTTAGTGAGCTAATTTCTATGAGGTAACATCAGTGTAGCTAAAAGAATTCAGCAGCTGAGATTTCAGTAATTTTACCTGGCCTTAAACTGCAATTGCCAAAGCAATTTCCAGGAGAAAGAGAAACTTTTTTCCTAGGTTTTTTTTCTGCAATATGTTTTTCAACGTTATTGTAAAATGTGTATATTATTGCCGAACTCTAAATTATAGTATATATAAGCAGAACTAGTGAAAATTACTGTTAGTTGCTTACCAGAAAAGCTCGGGCTTGAATTTTAAATGATGGGAAAGCAGCATGAGACAAAAGCCCGGATACGTTTCTTAAAACTGTGGCGGTTGAAAGTAACAACAAGCACTTGTTCTAAGAATCAGGTTTTGCAATAGGCGTAATTCTTCCTATATTTCTTCCTATATTTCTACCTATCTGTGTGTAAACAGGCATTGAATTTGGCCTTACTGAAAAGCAAAGCAAGCAAGCATAGTCTATCTAGTGTTATTCACAGCCAAAGAATGAACCGTTCTTCAATTATAAATACTTCACAGGGATAAGCAGCGTCCTTAGTTTCAGCAGATACTGAGGTAGTGCACTGGGCCTGCTCCAGAGCTCACTGAGGTTGACAAGATTCTTCCCAGTATTTTCAGTGGGCTTTGGATCAGGGACCTTGACTGTGTGTCTGCTTTGCATCTGGGCATTTCAGGCAAAAGGCTTTCATTGCTGAGTGTGCCGTTTTTTCTCAGAATACAAATAATGTAATGGATATACAAAGAGGGGAAGAAAAAGCCTGTGCTCTGTTGCTTTGGTTAGTGGGAGAGAAGGACAGAAAACTGCAGTGAGCAAAAGCAGCTGCTCTTTCCTGTTCCCCTGTGCTGCATTAACATGCGTGTTTTTTTTGTCATGACAGCACATTGATCTCCAGAACTTCTCCTCAAGCTGGAACGATGGGATGGCATTCTGTGCTCTTGTGCATTCTTTCTTTCCTGAAGCTTTTGATTATAATAAGCTTGACCCAGCTAATCGCAAGCAGAACTTTGAGCTGGCCTTCACCATGGCTGAGTGAGTATCACATTAGATCTCTGCGAAGTGCTTCCAGTTCAAGTCTAATGCGGCTGGGCAGCAGTGAAGAGTTTAATCATTCTTCTTGTAGGTCCTATATCACTAGCTTATATGTGTTATGCCAGAAAAGATAATAAAGCTCTGCACAGAGAACGCATAGAACAGGAGACTCGGCAGTCTAAAATCAGAGGTGGTTTTACCAGGCACAGGATAATTCATTGGAGTCCTATGTTCAGGTCTTTCACAGTCTTCAGGCAGTACTTGCATTCTGCTTTCTCACCTCTGTGATTCTCACCAGCCTTAGCACTGACACACTAAACTTGAGAAATCAGCCTCCTGAGTTATGCTTGGAGAGAAGAGGAAAAAACCCTACTTCTCTCTGTGTTTGGTTTTTTTTTTTTTTTTAATTATTTTGTTCTTGAAGTAATGAATGATTCTTAATGAATTTGCCAATATCAATCATAAAAAAGAAATTTGAGTTCATAGAGCACAATGTTTACTGACAGTCCATAGGAACTGGACATACAACTTGTAGTTTCTTAGCCAATCCCACCTGCTTGATACCTGATTTGAATTTGAGGCATGTTAATATATCCATCCAGCCTCTCTGGAAAAACTGTGACCCTTGAACCACAGGGAGCAAGTAGATTAACTTTTGGAATTGGGTTTTGTGGGAGGGTTCACCTCTGTCTGTACGTTGCTTTGGTTGAACATGAATGAAGGTTGAATTCAGTGTAAGTAGAGTTAGATCAAGGCTGAGATCTTCTCAGTATCTCAACCTGGTAACTGCATTTTTGTAAAACAGACAGAGCTAATACCCTCAGTCACACTGTCCTGATCCTTCTTGATGCAGTATACCAGGAAATTAAATGATAACGTGTTTGTTAAAGTCATTATAAGCGTGAACTTGTCAGCTAGAAATAGTAACTTTTTTGACCTAGTATCAACATGATTCTTGGCTGCTGTTTTGTTTGACTTGTGTAACAGTGAGAACATTCTCTGTGGCATGCAGCTGGGTTTGGTACACTCGTTTCCGAGTGTGGGGTGTGGGAATACATGGCTAAAGTTTCCTGGAGCTTCTGATACAGCTTCAAACACCGATACCACCAGACTGAAGCTCTGGGGTTCTTTCAGAGCGCCCTTTTTTTTTTTTTTTTTTTTAAATTAAAGCAATAAATCATAGAAGTGGATTTACCCTTTGCCATTCCAGAGAAAAGCTTTGAAAATTCTTAGCATAATGTTGGCTTTCCTTATTACAGTCCCTAGCAAAGGAATTCATTTGGGAATTATCAGGTTTTTATACACACACAGATATACATGTATATATAAAAAATTTTGTTGCTTGTCAGTGACTTGAAAGAGATTCTACGACACTTTTAGGTGGTTGATCTCTAAAACTATCTACAACTCTCAAAGGAAAGTTGCAGTGTTTTTCTGTCTCAGTTTATGTGGAAGTATAGGGGAGAACAGAAGACAGCATGTGCACAACAGTAAGAAACATTAGGTAAGAGGTATCTACAGAACTGACTACTTCATAGCTATGACTACCTTTAAACTAACTGTTCTCCTCTAGTGCCAGAAAAGGCTCTTCTTTCAGTTATTGCTGTTCACCCCAGCACGAGCTCTGCTGATCAAATTGCTTCCTGCCTGCCCTTGTGATTTTTCATCCTAGGCCTCAGCAGATCTGTTCCTTTCTGCTGGTCCAGATCTCAGTCAGGCTTCTGCTCTTCAACCTGATCATCTGAGATTGTTGTCCAAGTCACTCACACCTTGAAGATGTGGGGGTAGTGGAGAACATACAATCCACAGCCACATGGGCCTTCATTGGCACATCTCATCTCTCCTCGTGTTTTCCCATTCTTTTGGAGCTTCCTATATAATAACGAGAAAAACTCATGATTTGCAAACTCGCATGACCCTGCTTACTGAGACTTGGGCAGAGGAATGTGAGATTGGACTACATGCTACAGATATCAGGGATGTGAATGGCAGTCAGTGGGGAAAAAAAACAACCCTTCAGGGCTTTGGATCAGATCCCAGTATAGAGGAAGAGAGGGAAAGAACAGGAATATTCTATGGTCACAAAAATAACAATCATCTCCAACCTGAGCTTGACCATTTCATTGTGAAATGAAATGGTACTGATAAACCTCAGGATTTCTTAAATGCCTCAGTGATGTTCAAATCAGAGCAGCAAATGAATCTTGGAAGTAGTTACAGGCCTTAGATTTAATGCTTGATTTGCTGTTTCTGTTTTATTATTACTACAGGAAAATGGCTCACTGTGATCGTCTGATAGAAGTGGATGACATGATGGTGATGGGTCACAAGCCAGATCCCATGTGTGTCTTCACCTATGTCCAGTCTCTATACAATCATCTGCGACGCTTTGAATAAAACTATCGACACCTCTCCAGCCTGAAGGGTCAAGTACAGTATGCTAATGGGAAGAGTGACTTTTTGCAAATGGAACGCAGTGTTATTTCTTGCTTTTTACTGTCCCTTTGCTTACATTCAACTGTGTGGCTGGCTGACTGAAGTGTTGCTGAGCAGCGCCCCAAGTGTTGATCACATCAGCATGTCAGTAATACAGAAATACGTTTGAAAAAGACAAAAAAACATAGGGAAAGGCAAATGCTGTCATTTTGGTGCTAGTAGTAGGCTGGATTATTAATATTCTTGTGTTTAAAGATCACAGGAAGCTAATTTGCTGCTCCTTTCTCTGTTAGGCTGGGGACACAGTTTTAGGCAGTGACAGGTAACTGCTACGAAAGTGTTCCCTCTTAAAATGCAGGTAAAAGTCCAGAAGATAGCACCTTCAATTCCACTTCTCTGTTGAGCATAGCACAAAAGAAATAGCAAATGGACAAGGAAAATTCCGTTTAGCAAACAATAACCTAGAGTACTCAACCACTAGGGCAATATTGCCCCTCCTCCAACCCTACCCCCCACTCCAGCATGCATGCACACGCGCACACACACACACACACACATCAAACAGGCATTGTTCTGTTCTCTTAAAGCAGAAAGAGAACGCAGCCTCTTACCTGCTGACTGGGGCGACAGATAACTACCATGTTACACAACAGAGTTTGTCTGTAATGGTCAACTCTGAAGTGATTTGCTTAGAGGCTTGCTAAAGCCTCTGCTGGCAGTCCTGGATTAATTTCTTGATCATGAAGAACAGCAACAGCTGGGACTGTTCTGTGTAAGAGATTGTGTGTTTGCATGATTTAGGATCACAGGAAAGGGGGGGTGCTAGCAAGATACTAAATCCTCTGAACAGTTGTAATAAAGCATGCTACAGTCTTGCTTCTGACCTGGACTCTGGGGGAGAGCAACTCTCCAGTGTGGACAGGAATGAAGTCTTTACGACTTGCTCAGTCCTCATGCTGACTCTGAGGTTGACAGGCAATATGCCAAAAAAGTATGAAAGATGTGGGAGTTTTGAAATGCTAGTTTCCATTTTCAGTTAAATTAGTGTTAAAACCACAATATAGTGGGATTATTCCAGATTTACGGGACAAAAAGGTCATATGTCACCCTTTCTGGTTTTCTCTTTGATATATCAACAAAGCTTTGTTTTCACAGTGAATGTTAAAAACAAAACCACTAAAAAAGCATACTTAAAAAAAGCCTTTTAAAATTACTTCTTCCCTAAGAACAGGCTCATAGAAAGTAAAATATGAAAGCCACAAGCCCTCTGCTCATGCTAGAGAATGTTTTTTAACCTGCATTTGTGCTTTTTGTAGATATTTATAAAGATGACTTTGGTTCTGTATTGATGACCCATTTATAATAAAATATGTCAAATGTGCTTCAGATTTACTGCTTCTCTTTAGAATGAAGTGACAGGTAACAAAGCAAAATCAGTGGAAAGAACCCACAGCTTTTGCTTAGAAGATTTTTGTTCTAGCCATGATGCTGTGTGCTCTGAATTTCAGTGTAAAAAAGTACAGAAGTTCAGTGGCATTTGGAATAGGATTTTAGTTCAGCCTCCCTTTCTAGTGAAGGTTACTTAGGAAACCATGAATGAAGCAACCACTTTGTTAGCAGTCTCAGAAAAAAAAACCCACAAAACACACCACCAAAAGTGTACAAAGGTAAAGTATAAGTTAACTGCTGAAGGTCTGGATCATCAAGTTCTGTTTGAAGTGTAGCTAGGCTGTTGCTATGACACTGTGGAAATAGTTTGAAAGACTTTTAAATAGACATCTTTTAATACAAGTATCTGAAAGATACTTGGTCAAACTAGCAGGGTCCTTGGTATTGCTAATCTCACAGCTTTAATGCAAGTGGCCAGAGGTTGGGTGGGCTGTTTGTATTTGTCACATGACTGCCATTGTCTTCAGTTTTTGACTTTCCCTTGAATGATCATAATTCTGAGGAGAAAGTGTGCACCTGTTCCTCCACCAAACGCACTATAAGGATAAACACGCTGTACTTGTATTTTGAAGAAGTGATTGGAGTAAGCATGATGAGAAATCTGTCCACAACTGGCACATACGATACACATATTTACATTCTTACAGCAGAATACTTTTCATTGACTAGCAGAGCCAAGTTCCACTGTAGCTACAATAAGAGGGGCAATACTGGCTTTATACATCACATTCCTTCACAGTCCCAGGTCATGGATGATTTTCCTGTGTGATGTGAGTGCTAAAGACACAGGTAAGTGCTTGGCCAATTTAGGCCTGGTAGCAAATAATTATATAAAGGAAGACAATAAAATTATTGCCAATTTACCAGGGGGAGTTTACATCCTTTCTATAATTTAGCTTGTTTTCACAGCTACCCAGAAGCTATTTGTACAGGTTTTCTAAAGTCTTCCCACTTCAGAGAGGTGATCGTAAAGATACCTGGTACTTGCCTGGTACTGACTAATTTTAACTGCTGGTGGTTCGCATATAAGAAGATGAGGGAGATGGTGCTGTGACAGTTTTAGAAAAACCTACAGCTTTGTGTGTTAAGAGAAGTCTGATCTATATGAATAACCTTGACTGTTAGACTGTATGATTAAATTTAAATTAATGTAATGTATGCCCCGCTGGATTTTTTAGTACTTTTAGTTCAAAAAATGCAGAGTGTGTGTGTGTATATGACAGTAAACGTGTTCAGCATGAGTGATAAAGAGAACAATATGTTAAGTTGGCATAGTATATGTTTTCCACAGATGGACTGTTTCCTGGCCTTTCTAATGTTTCTGCACTGTATCTAAAATTCAGTACTATCTAAGGTGGTTTATTGGCAACTTGATCCTACTTTTAAAGGCTAGATCAATTAATTCTGTGCAAGATTTTCAAAATAATCTCAGCAGGGACATCACCTACTTTTTAAAATTATGTTTGCATATAGCTTCCGACAGCAGGGAAGTCTTCCTCCTTGAAAGTACAATAATTGGGTGGGTGCATCACTTCTCCCTTCATGTGACATTTCCAACAGGTGTTTAATCTAAACATATGCTCAGACCAGTGCAAACTACTGGGTACATGTAATTAGGTAGAAAACTAGCCCACATGATTCGACCTGTGTCATTAATTTAAACCTGGCCTGGCTTACAGAGATAGTTTTAAAGTGTCCAAAATAAAAGTTGGCATTGCTTTATGTAAGGTGCATTTAAAAGCCACTTTTGGTTATTCTAAAAAAGCTCTACGTCTAGATAAAGCCTCAGTGGAATTAACATAGAATTACAGACGGTTTGGGTTGGAAGGGACCTTTAAAGGTCATCTAGTCCAACCCTTCTGTAGTGAGCAGGGACATCTTCAACTAGACCAGGTTGCTCACAGCCCCGTCCAACCTGACCTGGAATGTGTCCAGGGATGGGGCAACCACCACCTCTCTGGGCAACCTGTGCCAGTGCTTCACCACCCTTAGTGTAAAAAATTTATTTCTTCTATCTAGGCTAAATCTCCCCTCTTTTAGTTTAAAACCATTAACCCTTGTCCTACTGCTACAGGCCCTACTAAAAAGTCTGTCGCCATCTTTCTTAAAGGGGGGTTGTGTATTGAAAGGCTGCAATAAGGTCTCCCTGGAGCCTTCTCTTCTCCAGGGTGAACAACCCCAACTCTCTCAGGCTTTCTCCATAGGAGATTATTCTGGACACTAGAGGAACACCAGAATTCAGACCTGTTATGTCAGTCTGCTTTGCAATTTCAGCAACGTTGAAAGCAAGCAGTTAACAATGCTGCAGTATCAGCTCAGCCTAGAGAATTCTCCCACTTCAACCCTCTGTCACAGCAGTTCGGGTGGCAGTTTAATCATCTGAAGAACAAGACTATGGTATTTTTAAAGCATCTAATATGGAACATAGCAACACATTTAATTTAGAACTACTCTCATTAATGCTGGTTATTTAGACTCCTCCACGGAAAATATGATATTTTTCCAGACTCTGAGGACTTTGGCCACTTCTTCATAAATAATGAACCCAGTTTCTACATCCAGACCCAGTTTGCCATGGTGAGGAACTGCTCCTTTATAAAGGCCTTAGTATGGGATGTGGTATGTGAGCAGTGTTTCAGCAGCACTGAAGTTGGTGTTAGCTTACCAGTGCTTCTATACTGAGGAGGATTTGCTTTTTCATCCAACTGTAACTGCTTTTACATGTTATGCGCGGAGGGGGGCTGGAGGGGGAGATGGCAGGGGGCTAGAGTGGGGAGATGGTGGGGGGCAGGAGTGTGCTGCTGGTGGAAGCAGCCGGGCCGAGCCGGCGTGGGATGCAGCGGCAGACCCCAGTCTGTCCCAGGATCATTTTCTCCCCTTGTAAATTCCTAGAGGTTTTCAGGAATTAACAAGCCTTTTCCTTTCCTTCCCTTTCCCTTTCCCTTTTCCCTTTCCCTTTTCCCTTTCCTTTTTCCCTTTCGCTTCCCCTTCCTTTTTTCCTTTCCTTTCCTTTCCTTATTGTCCTAATTGCGGAGTTGATTTACCTCTGTTATTTGACAAATGGCGCATTGTTGTCAGCCTCAGGAAGTCTACAATGATTTAAATCCCTGAAAACCATCTGAGGTAAAAATAAAACTTTCTTATGTCATATAATTCATATTGAAGGATCAGTTGCAAATTTCGTATTAACAGTTTAAAAGGAAATAATCTTTTATGGTAAGCTAACAATGAAGAACAGATTTAGGGTTGGTAATTACAAATTAATTACTTTATGACGGTGTCACTCACAAGCTGGGTCAGGACAGCATCAGATACTGGGTTTTCAGAACAAAACTGCATGAAGCCCCATGGGTCTCACAATAATGTCTTGGAGGACCATCACGCAGGGATTCCTCAGCTTTCAAAGCCAGTGAGCACGTTTTCAGAAAACGTAAGACATTCATTGTTCTCAACTGCTGTTCCGATATCTCAGCATTTCAGTTTATCAGGAATCATTTTTGTCATCCCTCTTTAATTTGCTCATATTTGTAAAAGCCTTGGAATGTTAGTACTGTACTAACAGTACTGTACTAACAGTACAGTACTACATGTACTGAGAGTACAAATAATAAGATTTTGTGGAAGATGACTAATATGCAGCTTGATACATGTTCTGTGACTCATGCTGGCCAAAGTAAACCTCTGTTCAAACTAGCTTTGAGTTCAGATCTACTTAAGTAATTGGAAATCTTTCAGTTATTATGGAAACGGTTCCAGTTCCTGCTCCAGCTGTTCATGTGACAAAAATTACTGCTTTCAACTAACTCATTTTAGCATGTTATGTTAAGAATCTGTTAAAAAAATATTCATTTATGGGGGAAGTATACCTAGACCAAGGGGAGCCAGACTGTACAAATCAAGGGACAGCCCATAGAAGCACTGTGCTCTTGTACAAATAGTTGCAGACTTCATGTGTGCAGTACCATATAAATTGATTTACAGGTCTGCATCCATAGTGGTCTATGTAATTGATTCTGATCAGAGTTCAGCCTAGTTATAGTTTTGCTTTGCCTCATGATCAGGAGCATTCCGAGTGTCTGTGACCACAGCTTTCCTGCATCAGTTAGCATATATTGTTCATGTTCCTTGCTTGCCTTGCACCCCATTCTCTGCTGCTTCTTGAATCTCTAGGTCTTTCTCCTCTCAGGCTAATGGCTTCAGTTCTAATGTCAACCCTGTCTTCTGAAGCCTGTATTTTTCTTTGGCTAACTCTGAAATACCTGCATTTTTCTGTAAGACAGTATTTCTTCAGCTGAAACCCCTTTTTTGCTTGACTATGTGCAGATTTCTGTTTACACGGCAGCTGACATGAGAGGCACTGTAGTTACCAGTTTTAATGATCACTGAGAGAATTTAGCTACTGTTTGAAGTAAGATCATTAGCAGCTTGCTAGCTGTCACTGCACTGTATTTACAACCAACAATTGCAGTTGCTTCCCACTTTTCCATCTTGGACCAGCTCAACTTCTCTTGACCAATGCTACTTGCTTCTTTATCACTTTGCAATCTCCTTGAACCTTGTTGGGAACTCTGAGAAACCCTGCTCTGATCTACACTACATCAGGGCTGTACGGAGGGGCATAACTGTACCATCTGATGTAATGCTCTTTTGTCTCCTTCATTTCTTCTTCTTCTGTCTGGCTCCCAATCTCTTTTGTCCCAGGAAAGAATATAGTTGCCATAAAGATGGAGCATACTACTAAGGATATTTTATAACTGACATTTTAGATAGCTAGGTACTTAACACGTCTGTAATTTGCTTTCACAATCTTTATGCATTTCTGCAATAAATTTATCAAAAATTACTGTCTGAAGCTGTGGGAACTATCTCAATTAATGTAAAAGAACACGTTTTTATTTACAGACAGATCTTACCTGGGAGTGGGTGAAAGGAAGTGCCACTGGCTTGTGTGTGCCGTGCTTCTTCCCCCTGGTGCAATAGCAGGAGGTTGCCAGAGGCAGTGTTGCTGTTCCCGTAGCAACCGGTTTGTTTACCTTCCATGCTGTTCTCAGCCACCTCCTGGAATATTTAGTCGCACATTTAAAAAGAAACTACGTGCTGCTGCTGTGGCGATTGAGGCTGGAAGACAGTTGGGAGCAAACCCCCCGATGAAGGGGAACTGAGGACGTGGCACTTAGCCAGGGTTTGACCTTGGGAGCAGCCTGGGCTAGGAGCAGTATCAGCCAAGAGGTGTGTGAGGGAGAAGGGGGATTGTTTTAAGGGTACCTGTGCTGGAGTGTGGGCAAAGCTGTGTGTTGCTGAGGAGCAGCTGTGTGCATTTGGGGTGAGGAGTTGTCTCAGGAACACTGGATGAGCGTAGTGCAAGAATAGGAAAATTGATAAACTGCTGTGACTTTGCACATTTTTTGGGCATTGGTTTCACCCTATGTTAAACCAGTGTCCCCAGTGTTGTTCTGCTTCAGCCCTTCCTAGGCTTTTCCATTTCCTCATTTACCTGATGTATTTCCTCCTTCAGCTTTTCATGTCCTGCTTTCTCTTTTTTTTCTTCTAATGACCATTACATTTCTTTTTTACAACCTAGAGTTCATCCACCTCTCCAGCTGTATTCTTAAGAGGTGTTTACTTCTCCAACCTGTGGGAGATTATTTAGCTTTTATATTTGTTCACTTTTTCTCAGTTTTCTGTGATTGTCCATTTAGTAATTCCATCCTTCCTCACAGGTCTCCTTTTCTTTCCCTTCTCTTCTCCCTCCTATTGCAGACAGCCCATCTTTTCCTCTCAGTTCCACTTTCAAGCCTCTTTCTTACTCTCTCTCCTCCTAGCTTCCATTCCCAAAGTCCTCTGTTTCTTCATTCTCCCACTCCAAACTCTCTCCCCCACACCTTAGCAAATTCTTGGGGAGCCTTGAGCAAGAAGTCTTTTATTTTCATACCTGTGTCATTTTGCAGGTGAAAGGGGCAAGAATTTTTCTCACCCTCATGGACCTGTCTTCTCCCCCTCTTGCTTCTGCAGCCAAATATAACGCTATTCCTGTTTTCAGGTTCCACGTTCCAAGAACGGACCTGCATTATATCTAGAAACTTTCCAAAAAACAATGGCCAGACTGTTGCAAGCTCCACCCAAGTTTCATCCCTCAGAATGGGACATTGCAAACAAGATGCAGTGTGCCAGTACAGAGTCTCAGAAATCCAGGTCAGAGCGCATGATAGCAGAGAGTCGGAGGCTGCTGGATGAAACAGAAAAGACAACTCAGAAAACACAAAGTGATGTCAACAAGAAAATAGGTAATCCCATATGTTCTGCCAGTGTCAAGATGTCTTATTTGAGCTATATGTTTAAGATGGCCTTAGAAAATTAGTTGATAGTGAATAGGAATATATGTCAATGCCATGCTCTCTGATCTCATGGAAAAATTAAAAATATTTTAAAAAATATTTTGAGGCAGGTTCTTTATTTTATAACAAATAAATTACTTCTCCAAAACACACAGAAAGCTATTCCAACCAAACCTCCTGATACAGGGCTGCAAAACTGTCTCCACACATCAGCCTACAGCACTACATGCACTCCACTATGGAATAAGTCTATTTTTAGCCCTATCCAAGATCTGACCCACAGTGCTCTGGCATCTAAGATGGGCTTGTATTAATACCTGTTTGCAATTTTCATTCTGCAGAACAGAGACGGGAAGAAATAAAATTCTGGAAGCAAGAATTAGAAAACAAACTTGAACAAATTGTTCATGAGACAGAGGTATTGTTGACTTTCAAGACTAGGCTGGAGAAATCTTTGGAGAGCTGCAAAGAGCCACTCGTCATTGCCCAAAAGTGTCTCCTGAACAGGTGAGATGATTAAGGAGAAAAGCATTCAGGGAGAGAAAAAAAATCTAGGTAACGAACCTTTAACGAATAATAAAAAAGGCTGCAAACTAAGAGCCTGCCTCTCTTTGCAGTGGAGTCACATTCTGATTTAGGTGTTGCAACACTGGGGAACCAAGGCCATAAGGGAAAAACTTCCTGGGTGGCAAGGAAAAGCCTTCAATTTGGAAAGCTGGGCTTCATCATCTTCTGTTAGCTGCAGGCATTTTAACAGTGTAGCTGATGGCTTTTCCTCTTTTTGTTTAGGCAGAGGCGAGCTGGGATTGACTTGGTGCATGATGAAGTGGAACAGGAATTGGTGAAGGAAGCTGAAGTCCTCCAGGGGGTTATTGCTTTGCTTGGACGTACATTGGAACAAACCAATGAGCAAATCAGGTGCAGAGGCAAAGAACGTAACTGAACACTGATTAGCTGGAAAGTAGGACAGCCATAATCCTGAGAAGTTGTAGGGTCAGGCTGAGCACAGGTCCAAAGTTACTTTCAGTGCTAAACAGTTACAAAGAAGTCAGTCCTAATTCATACCATTTGCTCAGTAATGGTGAGAAGTTCTGTTTGTTAGAACTCAAAGTACTTGCACGTGATCCCTGGTCTTCTCATGATCCAGTCCTGTGCCTTTAATTCCAATGAGAATTGTACCATCAATTTATACGGAGGCAGCTTCATGCTCTAGATTTTGGGACATTGCAACTGACAGTTCATACATGAAGAATTCCATAACAGCATTTATATTACCTAATGTATGTATGCATGCATGTTAGGGACACCTGTGAGTGCCTACACTTTGGCTTAGAGTCCGGTTGTTTCTCCTCCTAGACTAAACCGTTCAGCAAAATACAACCTGGAAATGGATCTGAAGGACAAGTTCACAGCTTTGATGATTGATGATTACTGTGCTAGCTTGACAAACAACACTCCTGATATCAGATATGCTGATAATGCAGTGAAAATAGAAGGAAAGTAAGTAGTTATTTAGTTCAATGAACATATGATAATTATACAGCTAGTATGAGCTGTTCCAGTAATAGCAAGATTAAAGTAATTTTACGTAAAACAGACTATATCTGTCCATCATCTGTCTGTGTAGATTGTTTTTTTATACTTGTCGTGGTTTAACCCCAGCTGGCAACTAAGCCCCACACAGCCGCTCGCTCACTCCCCTCCAGCGGGATGGGGGAGAGAATCGGATGGGTATAAGTGAGAAAACTTGTGGGTTGAGATAAAGACAGTTTAATAGGGAAAGCAAAAGCCCCGTGCA